AGTTGGGTTCATGGTTTTAAAACTATTTTCAATCAGAGAGTCACTTCTTTAAACAAAACTTACACTAGAGGCCCTGTGAGTGGAGCAAGTACACATGCAGTGGTTCGGTGGGAGCAGGAGAGAGGCCCGAAGTTCTGCCCACTCAGCCTCTGGTCCCTTCGTCTCCCAGCCCTGGAACCAGCCGTGGGGACCTATGGGATTCTTGGAAGCCCTTCCAAGCCCTGGAACCCAGGAGGGTTGCTAAACACAGGTTAAAAACTGCTGGAGAGTCCGCGACCTCCGAGACTGTTGTTTAAAGAACTAAACTTCTGAATCACGTGAGAACAGTCCACATCTGGAGTGCTATCTGGATCATAAATATCCTCCCTCCCAAATCTACGTGCTTGATGAAACCCAGTTTCCGCCCTGTTTCGTGTCTGGTTGTGGAACCAGGGACCAAACTGGCCAACAGTGAGGACATTCCTCCAGGTGCTGACTCCCCTGGTGCTGTCACCGGCCACTGGGCTGCCCCAGGACCATTTCTCCCAGAGGCCAAGGGGAAGGAGTCCGCAGGGCTCTTAGTCTGCCTGGCGGTGGGGTAGGAATGGCTTCATCAGAAAGAGCCCTGGAACCAAGCAGCTGGCGCTTTGCAGGGGAGTTTGTTTGTGTCACACAGGAAGTGCAGGGAACCCACTTTTCAGACTCGATGGTGATCACTTTTGTCAATATCAGACCCCAATCAGGAAGTCCCAGGTCTACCCCCAAAGTGTTTAAAACAAACTTCCCTTCACTGTACAAGATCAGAAAACACAAAGGTGCCAAATACAGCCCTGAAGGAGCAGGGCCAGAGTCTCTCCTGGGTGAATGTCAAGTAGCACGTGGAGGAGTAAGACATGGAGCCCTTCCTCGGACGACAAGAAAAGTCAGACTGGGGTGACGCTCTTGAGGCATCTGTCCCGCTGGCAACATTTCAGTGGCCATAAAAAAACTCAGTAATCAAGGTTAAACGTATTTTAATACAGCATTTTTTTAAAAAAAATCAAAATAAATACCAACTATTCCATGAAAAATGAAGTATCAGCAGTTTACAAGGAAGATCAGTACTCCTGATTGTTCTCGCTGCCACGGGCGCCGCTGTCAGTAGCACAGCTCAGTTTGGTACTGACAGATCTTTGGAAGGAAGCAGAGAGAGCCCCACTTGGCCCATGACTAGTGGCGATTCCACTGAAAGGGAACCAAAGCCGTGTCACTGTCTTCACCTGCACTGCCACCAGCCATCACTGTCGTCATCACTCAAGAGTTATGACAACTGAGGACTTGCCATAATCTAAACATTTAACCAGTATCATCTGCACTAAATTTTCACAACCTTCCTGAGAAGAAGAAATTTATGACCATTTTACAGATAAAGAAACTGAGGCCTCAAGAGGAAGGCAATTTATCTAAGTGTGAGAGATGGAAATGTGGAGCCATCTGCAGAAAACCCTCTGCAGAACCCAGCCTGGGGAGAAGCCTCCAGGCCAGACAAGAAGAGAGTCATCCTGGCCAAGGTTTTCCCCAGTTCCTCAGCCAGGAGTAACTGGACATTAACACCCACAAGGCCCCTGCGCAGCATTGATAGTGGTCGTTCTTAATTGTGCTCACCATAACTTTGTAGGAAACAGGATACAGTGTCTACACTGTGAGGCACTGGGGCAGAGCCCTTCAGCTTTGCAAGTCAGCTTGCTCTGCTGTGAAACCAGAGGCAGGCCTGACTGATCTCTGAGCATCTCAGGACCTTAAGGAGTCGATTCCCCAGCCATCCACCTCATCTATGACTGCTCCTGGCCTTGTGGGGCAAGTCCCCACCTCCGGCTGTGAGGTTGCACCTGCAATTATCTGGGCCTTTCCCAGGAAGGGATGCGATGGCCCCGAGGCTGAGGAGGAGACTGTCAGCTTCGTCTTTAGTCTCTCATAACTTTTAGGCAATCTTTATAAAGCTTCGTGGTGGAGGAGCCCTCCCTGCCCTGACCATCGCAGCCTTGACTCTGGGGGGCCTGCCAGGCAGGCAGCCCTCTTGCCAAACGTTGATTCAAGAGGGTGTTTCTGACTCAAGTTCCTGCACGATACGTTTGTTTCAAGCACAGCTGCAGAGCCGCCCTGCATACCCCCTCTTGTCTACTCCTCCAGCAGAGACCTGATGACACGGAAGACACAGGAGTGACAGGGAGAGGAACAGAAGACCGTGCTCAGCCCAGGGACCCCTGTCATCGAGAAGACAAAGGAGCAAAGTCACAGGAAGAGAGGCGCTGTCTGCGACAGCGGGAGGGGGGTTTCTCCGCCCTCAGCTCCTTCCCAAACCCACTTTATTTTATTGTTCGAAGAATTTCCAGGAGTCTGGTTAACAGGCCTGATGCCTTATATAGCTTGGATATGTACAAAAGCAAATGGTCTTAAAATGAACAGAAACAGTGAATGTTACTTAGCACAGAGTCCAAGTCTCAGGTAGCTGAGCTCTGTGCTTGTCCAACGTGTTCCAGCTGCAAGTATCGGAATCAGCCTGGATGGTTCAGGGCAGTGTGACGGACGGTGTGGGTGACAGTGCGAGCTCTTAGCAGCGTCTGCGTTCTTCCTTCCTCCTGGGCACGTGGCAGACTGCGTTTTCTAGAAGCCTTGCTGTTGGAAGCCGTCAGTGGTTTATGGGAAGGGGGGATGCACCCCCTCCCCACAGTTATCCATTCCTCCTCAGCACTGCCCTTCCCTCCGGGGACCCAGAGGGGCCAGAGCCACAGGAATCAATCTTTTCTCACAATCTGCCCAGCAATCTTCAGCAACCTCAGGGCTCAATTCAACTGTCATCTCCTCCTTGAAGCCCTCCCTGATCCTCCAGGGAGGAGAAGCCACTCCCACAAGTCTATGCACCGGGACTCATGCACCTGTGGCCACCTTCGCAAATTACCACAAACTGGGCAGCTTAAAACAAGGGAAATATACTCCCTCCTGGTTCAGGAAACCAGAAGTATAAAATCAAGGTGTCAGCAGGGCCGCACTCTCCCTGAAGACTCAGAGGGAGAATTCCTTCCACACCTTTGTCTCAGCTCCCCATGTTGCTGGCGTCCTTGGCGGCCCCTTGGCTCGCAGACTCATCATTTCAGCCTCTGCCTCCATAGCCCCACCACCTTTTCCCAGTGCGTCTGCCTCTGTATGTCCTTTCTGTCTCTTATACAGACACTCTCATGGAACTTACATCCCACCCTAATCCAGGACGATCTCATCTCAATTCTTAAATTAAACACACCTGCGAAGATATTATTTCCAAATAAATCACATCTTCACTTCTTTGTTCATATTCTAGAAGAACATGGATTAGGGTGGGGGGACACTGTCTTACCCACTGCACATCCCTTTGATTGCAGTTCTCATTTGTGACTATTGTGCATCTGCTTCAGGTGACAGCCACATCCCTGAGAGGCAGGCTGTCCCATCCTCACTCTGTGTCCACACTGTCTTGCTCGGAGCTCTGTGGACCGAAGCTCCAGGCAGACGCCTGTGAACTGAGTGTGACGGATGAGCGATCAGAGGTCCCTTCGCAGGTGCCGTCCTGCACGCCTCCGGTGGCGACCTCTTCTGTCTCGGGGGCCTGCCCATTCACCTAAACAGCCTGCCGAGTTCTCCCATCCTAAGGGGCCTGGGAGGAACCAAGAGCAGAGGGAGAACATTAAGTTGTTCAATGGCCATTCAGCGTCCTTTCCTTTTGCTGGGTTCCAGAAACTCTCCAAGCCAACTGCCAGGGTGATTTAGGAAGTCTCAGGAACGCGAGGCTCTGCGGCGAAGAGCCTGGTGGGAAAGGCCGGCTCTGTGCTTTTCTGTGTGGGCTGTGCGGGCCTGCTGTGAACATTTTCCAGGAAGAGATGGAGAGCAAAAGTTGGGTGACTTTTTATGAGTGTTTGTTCCAGCTGTTGGTTGGTGATTTGGTTTTTGGAGCAGCTGGGGCCAGGCAGCAAGGCCTCGAATTCCAACCTGCTTTGCAACCTGTTTTACAGCTAATTACCAAGAAATGACGTGGCCTGTGGGTTGGGTAATCCCTCCAAAACTCGAATGTCCCCCAGAGCGACGAATCCCCCGCCTGTTGGCTCTCGGAGTCACCTGGGTTCCAAGGACCTCTGCGAGCCCACACCCCGAGGTCTGCGGGTCTTTCTGGGGGTCTCTAGAGATGCCTAAACGGGGCTGCCCCCCAGGCCTCCCTGTTCTGCTTCTCCGGTCCCCTTGCTGATGCCAGTTTGCTGCCCAGACCTGTCTCCTGGGTTCCCGAGGCTGAGCAGCCCTCGAGAGCTGATGAGTTCACTCCGCTGTCCACTGTGCAGAGCCGGGGCCCCTTCCTCCAGCCTCCCGTGTCAGCCAGGGACCCAGGCTCCATCCATCCTGTTGGGTCTCCAGTGTTTGGTCCCTGTCTCCTGGTAGCTGGGAAACAAGAGGAAGTGGCAGGAAGGCGATTCCCTGAGAAGAAACAGTGCAGAAGCTGCCCAGTTCTTTCCACTCTGGTCGTCAAGTTGCAAGCTTGGCCTCAAGCCCCCACCTCACTTCCAAGGAGGCTCTATAGACAACAGGTTTCTCCTGTAGAGCACAGGAAACTATATTCAGTATCTTGTAATAACCTCTAATGAAAAGGAATATGAAAGCGAATATACGCATGTATGTATATGACTGAACGTGATGCTGTGCACCAGAAATTGACACAACGTTGTAAGCTGACAATACTTCAATTGGAAAAAAAATGGGAGGCTGTAGATGGGTGGCCTTGGGCCTGATTGCAACTCAGGGCACTTTGTTAATACAGGCCAACCTTGTTTTATTGCACTTTGCTTTACTGTGCTTCGCAGACATTGCACTTTTTTTACAAATTGCAGGTTTGTGGCAATACTGTGTCAGGCAAGTCTGTTGGTGCCATCTTTCCAACAGTATGTGCTCGCTTGGTGTCTCTGTGTCACATTGTGGTAATTCTCAATATTTCAGACTTTTTCATATTTTTATTTTTGTTGCAGTGATCAGTGACCTTAGGTGTTACTACTGTTATTGTTTGGGGCTCTACGAAGCACACCCGCTTAGGTTACAAACCTGTGTGTCCTGACTGCTCGACCAACCGGCCGTCCCCCCATCTCTCTCCTTCTCCTCGGGCCTCCCTGTTCCTTGAGACACAATGTTGAAATTAGGCCAATTAATGACCCTGCAGTGGCCTCCTAGAGTTGAACATCTCTCACTTTAAATCAAAGGCCAGATCAAGTTTAGTGAGGAAGGCATATCAAAGGTCAGGACAGGCCAAAAACTAGGCCTCTCACCCCGGCGAGGCAGCCGAGCGCCTGCCGCCCAGGAGTCCTCCTCGAAGGGGGCAAGCGCTGCGCCGGCGGGCGCGCTGCCCGAAGGGGGTCCGAGGGCCGGGACACAGCGCCC